AAGGAGGCTGGGGCCGATGCACACAAGTGAGGTTCGTCAGTGGATGACATCCCCTGAAAATAAGACCTGGTGCCTTTTTTGGTGGCAAAATATATACGTAAGATGCGGTCTTAGTTTTGGGGAAACACGGGTAGCAATCACAGGACACATCCCACCCAGAATATTGCAACTGGCCTAAATACATACCAGTTGCCAAGCACCTGCATTTGGAACATGTGATCTTGGGAATGCCATGAAGGTAGTAAGTGCGAGGACCACACATCATTTTTTTTCCCCAGTGCCATTGTAACTTCAAATGGCTGTAAGTCAAGGACTACCTGTACTTTAAAAAATAAGCCTTGGTACCATTCTTAGCAACTTCTTTGTGGTTAAATAAGTAACCGAATTACCTTGCTGTCAAATAAATAACACATGAGAAAATGCCCTTCATATGTACACATCTATAGTTTTGAGAATTCAAAGATCTCCCTACACATCCAATGCTGCCAGAATATTTTCCAAAGTACTCTAGAACTATATTATGAAATTACTGCACAATACTCATTAAGTGTTGCAATGGGATGTTGGGACAAAGTCCTCCAGCTAGGAGAATCTGTCACCATTCATTATATAGCCCATGGGAAGTTAAGCAACATCTGGAGGACTTTGACTTGCTTTCAAGTATTTCATCAGCAGTTCTGAAACAATCTCTAATTTCTCTGCTTTTAAATAATTCTTTACAATTTCTATACTTGAAAATGTAACATCTCGCTCCTCACTTTCCCAAATATCCTCAGATATAGACCTGGGAGTCCCATGTATGCCATCAACTGCCAATTTAGCTTTTCCCATTCTAACCACCAAACATGAAGGACTATTCCACAGCTTCATATATTGTGAAGTGGATGCATGAGTTTGAAAAAAAAAATGTTTCCATTTGAAATTCTAACAAAAAAAAATGTTCATAGAGTTTCTTATCTAATAAATCTGCTTAAAAATTAGTCTCAATCAAGTTTTTGATTTTTGAACTAATAATTATACTCTGTGACTAAAGTGACTAAACATAGACACTAAAATGCCTGATATTTTTAGCTTTGGTATAATATTAATATCCATTTAATATGTGGTATTAAATGGATGGAAACTGATCAAGGAGAGACTCAACCTAGAAATGAGAGATTTCTGACAGTGAGAACAAATCGATTGATGTAACAGCTTGCTTTCAGACGTTGTGGGAGCTTCATCACTGGAAGATTTCAAGTAGAGACTGGACTGCCATCTGTCAGATATGGTATTATGGGGTCTCCTGCTTGGGCAGGGGGTTGGACTAGATGACCTACAAGGTCCCTTCCAATTCTGTTAATATTTTTTGTGATTTTTTTTTAATAAAAAAAAATATCACCAAGTACAAAAGATTTTTGTTTCCAGATTAGAAAAAATATTTCATTCCTTCATTCAACAAAACTGCAACCCTTCCCAAGTGTTTTTAAGAGACCAGCCTCTCCTTATAGCTGGCTTTACTTTTACAGTACTTCAGTGTATTCCCCTAAACTCTGCATTGCAAATCACTACCTCCTCCACCTCGATGAATATAATCCCAAATTAACTTTGCATTCCCCCGGGGTCAACAAAGTTAGCCCGAAGAACTGAAAGAAAACACGAAGGAAACAATGGTTTTATTTCCACGCGCCCTTTGGTGGAGTAAGTCACCTTTTGGAAAGACAAAAACTATATATGGGAGGTAGTAGTAACCAGCTCTCCTGCCTAACTAAGACCTGCCTGGGGATCAACACGTCACTACCCAAGTTTTGCAATTTGTTTTTTCCCACCTTCCCGTCTCGTGGGATAAAATTGGTGTTATGCGTGGGGAGAAATAAAGCGAGAGGAAGGGTCACGGGGCCGGGCAATTGCAAGGCACAAAACGCCTCTTCCGTGCTTGGGGCTGGGTGTCCTTTAAGGGAATTACAGTGCATTCCCAAGCTGCTGGAGTGGGACGTGGGGGAATCTTTGCAAGATCCTGCGCTAAAATCAAGGCCAAAGAGGAAGAGGGGGAGCATTAGGGGAGTCCCCATTATTTTTTGGAGCGGGTGGGGGGGCTGCCTTACCTCTGAGCAAAGCCATGGCTGCAGCGGTGGTAGTTGCTTCCTCGCCAACCGACTTCCCCGCTGGGGTCCTCGGTTCGCGAGGCACAACCCCGCCGCGCCCCTTTCCACCGCTCCGCCCTTCGTCCTCCTCCTCCTCCTCCGCACCGCCTCCTCCTCGCCCGGGGAGTCACTTCCAACGGAGACTATAAGGCAAAGGCATAGAGGTGGACGGACGGATGCAGATAGGGAGGGCATTCTCTCCCGGGTCCCATAATCCCCAGCCGGGGAGGCATGTTTGGATGTGGACCGCGGAACTGATTTTTGACGCCGCCCCTCTGGAACCCCCCCTGGGGGTGTCTGGATGGTGCCGGCTGGGGATGATGGGAGAGGGAGTCCGGCTGGTCTGCAGCCCAGGGCTGCGTTTAAGGGGAGCCGATCGGAGGACGGAGAAGGAAGACAGGTGGCGACGCTCCTCCTCCAGCCTAATCCTGGCTGTGGATTATGGAACCTGGAGTCCGACGGTGGGGAGAGCCGGAGGAGCGCGCCGACGAGGGGACTAATGGCGCCCTTAGGGGAAGCCTCTCTTCGCTTCCTTTTCTGGCTCGCTTGGGGAGCAATTCGCCCCACGGCTACGCAAGGGGGTGGAGCCACGCGCGGGGAAGGGCGGGACTTCCGCCGAGGTGCTTCCTGTAACTGTCCCGTCTCCCCGGCAACGCGGTCTTCCGTGGGCTGAAGGCCTGTGAATCCGAGCGGGCTCGCCAGGCCCCCTAGACCCGATCTACCGGAGCTTTCTTGATTTCTTTCTCAGCTGCCGGTGGCCAAGGGAGCCGGGGTGTGGTGGCTTGCAATCCCTCGTTCCCGGCCAGTTTAGCTTGCCGGAGCTGCAGGTTGGGGAAGGCTGGATTAAACGACCTAGATTTGGATGCTATGGAAGATGTGAGACGTGAACGTCGCGCCTGTTTTGCAACTCCAGAAATGGGGTTTTGCCTTTTTTTTTTTTTGTAATTTTACTTTTAAGGTTTTCTATATATTTCCTCCTCTGCATGCATTCATTACAACTTTTAGGCGCTCCTAACCTAATGGATATTTCAGGATTAGCTACAGGTCGAGCACCTAAGTAGTTACTCTGTTCAATTATTTTTCATTTTTCAAAGCAATAACTCAGACATTTCTGTTGGGGAAAATTTGGGATTTAGTTCCCCAGTTGTGAGTTATTTCTGTTCGAATTGTTCTTTGGAAACAAGATTTCTGTAATAGCAAAATATAAGAAGGAACAATGGCTTATATGATCTCAGAATCAAAATTTGCCAATATTAAAAATTAGCTGTTAGCCATACAAGAGAATTTGCAATTCATCGTAAAATGACTCTGAATGTCAGTATTATGGGGTAGATGCTAACATTTGGAGAGATGAGGAATGTTTCTTTGTGCAATGGCCTGTAATTTTTTTTTAATTTGTTCTATTGCCTGGAAAACAATTGATTAGCTGTTGAATGCAATCTTAAGAATGGAAAAACATGACTCAGCCTTTGATTGCTAAAGGTAATAACTCTCAGTTTGTAAAATATGTCCAAACTATTTTCAGTAAATTAAAAACTGTATAGTACTACATCTGAAATGTGCCTTAGTTGTGGAATGTTCATCTTATTTGAATTGTTATTTCTTGAAAGCTGGCTAAGGATTATGCATTGCCAAACGTAAGGGAAGAATTAATTGAAGAGAACTTAATGGTATCATTTGCCAAGTGTGAATTTAGGGTATTTATTAATCAAAAATCATTAGAGACTTTTCAAATAAAAAGGCTAATAAATGTTTCTCAAAACTCTTGTCACTTTAATTGCTGCAAACATTTGTTATTTTCAGCAGGAATTACAGAAATACACCTATTGTTCTAGAGTAGCAAGAAACAGGCTCATCTATTTATAGTACCAGCCAATAAAATGGATACTTAATATGAAAGGTGTTGTTACTGGTTAGAAGATCTTGATGCCTGGAAAAATTGACAATTGAAAAAAGGGCCACTGAGAGAGAAGGTGCTAGATACTGTCACAAGAACTCAGAGACAATCCTGGCAAAAGGATGTCCATCAGGTCATGAAGAATTGAAAGTATCTTAATGACTGAACAGCATAAAGATGTTATCATAGTGTTCTCTAAAAATAGCAAGCATTGCTTGCTCAATAATGAATGGTCATAATGGTAATTTGTATTTATGTAACCAATTTTGCTAATGGACTTGGAATGGGGGTCCCATATAGTGGGCTCAGTCATGAAAATCATTTTGACACTTGTGCACACAGAGCAGAAATGATGGACTATTCTTGACTGCTTGCACAATTCTATGCAAATATTTGCAAGAGCATTTTGCTTTGTGATAGTTTCTGATCCATCTGGTTCAAATTAATTTGTATGCTCAAAAGGCTCTGGGTGGTTAATAATCAAGATCCTCATAAATCAATCCCCTTAAAAAGAATAAGTAATCCCATAAAATACAATGTTGTGCATTCCTTACATTTTACTTTTCAGTCGTTGCAAACTCTCCTCCAGAGCTTGAGGGAACCATCGGGGTTTAACAGCTCTCCTGAAATCCAGGAGGAAAGGAGCAAACTGAATCTCCAAAGTATAGGGACAAGGATCTAAAATGCCTGTTTCTAAAATCCTGCCATGTAAACATTGTTGTATAGATTGGTCTGACTGGACAGGCAGATGAATATGGGGGAGAGAAAATAGTTCCAAGGTGCTGCCAAAGAGATTCTTGAATGGCATCCAGATGCCAACTGGCGACCCTGAAATAGTGATTGGACATAGAAAGCAGAGAATATCTTAGGGTTCATCAGCACTGCCCATTGGGAGACTGTTGCATTTTGTACCTCCAAGGGAACTCCTGTCTCAAACACCTAATTTGGAGAGCATTCCCCCTTCTTGCCATTGCTGGTCTGTGATGAATAGCCCACTGCGCAATCTGAGTTCTGTGTGGAACTGAATGACGAATTTTGTGCTAACAAAGGCATCTGAGACCAATGCTTTGGCAGCCCCATAGTTCTTACCTGGTTGCTGATGCACAGAGCCCGAGGCACTGGAGAAAAATCTTAAGGTCAGTGAAGCAAAAGGCTTTATGATGGGGTTGTATGGTACATAGTGGGGTTGGCTGAGATTGTGAAAATCAGTGTTACAATCAACTATGTAACTTGGGAGGTGACTCTGACCTAGTCTATTATTTTGTTACCCATCTCAATGTATCTAAATAATTCATCTACTTATATATAGTGCTTGTAACCTGCTCCAATGCCAAAGGACTCTGAGTGGTGTATAACATCAAACAAAAACGTAATTGAAACATTTAGCTATGCACTTGAACATCGTTCGAATGGTGAATATCAATGAATTTCCAGAAAAAATTACAGACCACAGGAACCATTTGCGCTTCAGTTTAAGATTAATTTTACAATTGATATTTTGAAAGGGAGCGTGGAACACAAACTTCAAGAGCTGAAATCACTTGTACCCTACAGCTTAGACAAGAAAAAATACGCAGAGCAGAAGAATCAACACAGATGGACAGTGACATGTCTCAGAAAACTGACCAATGGGTGAGAAATCTGACAGCTTACCCAAACAGAAAATGTTTAGCCGCAGGGCTGAATTTTGCAGTCATACCAGAACAGCTACCAGTTGTAGATCTCAGAGCACTAGAGTCAGCCATCAGAAACAATAAAGTGGCAGAACCAGAGGCAGAACAATTAAGGGTGAAAATACCTGCAGTCTTTGCTAATGCCAAAACACCCCCTCCCAACCTCATAATTCAAGAAAGGAGAGCAGTGACATCTCTAGGAAGAGACTCAAACATCACCATCCTGCCAGCAGATAAAGGAAGATGCAGTCATTCTGAACACAGATGACTACAAGGCCAAAGTAAATGGCACACTGCCATGTATGAGACTGAAGAGATTCCACCAGCATTTGCAAGAAAAAGGTTGATTTCTTGCAACAACTGCTGAAGGACAAAGCCATTGATCAGCCACAATGCTACCGTCTTTATATCCTGGGGAAGCCACGCCATGCATATATGGATTCCCCCAAATCCACAGAGGGAACTCCACTCACACCAATTGTCAGCAGCATCAACTCAGTCACCTACAGCATTGCAAAACATCCAGCCACCTTATTAGCTCCTCTAGTTGGCAACACTATACAACCTATCAACAATTCACAGGACTTTGCCAGCAAGGTTTGGAATCTAAAACTGGACCCGGATGAGACCATGGTTTCCTATGACGTGACTTCCCTCTTCACCTGCATTCCAACAACCGAAACTCTCATGGTAGTGAAGAAACAACTGCTACGAGACAGCACCTTAGGTGACAGCCAGTAGACATTCAGTCATCCAGGTCATGGTTGTCCCAAAGGTGCTTTTTCAGGAGGCAACTAGACTTGTTGGTTTTTCTTTTGAAGACGTTTCGCTTCTCACCCAAGAAGTTTCTTCAGCTGTCATGCCCCGGGTCTTATTTTTGGGGAAATATGGTAATAGAATTGAAATATATTTCAGAAGCTTTCCTCCAACAGACCACTTGGGTTTGGTGCATTCATCAACCCAACTATATTTGCTTCCAAAAATACTTCACAATAATCTAAGAAGCAATCTTGAAAGCTGTACCACTGCAGCATTTACATGTAACACTTGGAACTCCAGAAGGAAATAATATATACATTCTGTAAATGTATTACAAAGAGTTTATAAAACAAATCCATTTCTGTTTTAGAATGAGCTTTGAAAGTGGACACTTAGCAATGCTGGAAATAAAAGCATGCAGAAAAACAAGAAAAGCAAGCTTTTTATTCCAAAGTATTATGCACAGTGGAATGATGGTGGCTTTTACAGTCACTTTCCTCTAAACAGGTGTAGTTTGCCCAATTGTTCAAACTGGAAAAATATTTTTATCAGTAGCAATATTTTAATTAAACTGTAGCTTGCAATTTTAATTAAACTGGGGCAATTATAAATTGGGGTAGGTACACCTCATTTTATGTTCCAGCATTTGCATTCTTTGAATAATTCTCTAGCTTTTATGGGAGTTATCTTTCAATACGTGTAAAAAAAATGAAGTTTTGAAGGCAGAGATGTAACTTGCTCATGCAGTATAAATTGATTGGCATGATGGACAGTCAGCTACATCTATAATGCTAGAATATTTTGACTACTGCATTTTATAGCTTAGTCTGGAAAATAAGCAAACCCAGAATTAATTTGCTGCAATAAGGGAGAAGTTACTTCAGTGTGTGTAGTATAACTTGAAACCTGGCAATCTCATTGCTTGTCCCTGTGTACAGACAAGTCTTGCTAATTCTTGCACACTTGAGATATGTAGTATTAAAAAAGTTAATAGTTAATATCAATGAATCAATATGAATAAATCTGCATTTCTTGCAGTTTTTAATTGAGGAAGACAATTGGCCATATATTTCTTTTTATAAAAAGTTCAAATTAATCTAATACAACAATACTGAAATCTTTCCATGCTGACTGTCCTAAACAAATAGAAGTTATATATAAGGTTGCACATTTGCTAATATTAATTTGATAGCCATAAATAACTGATCAAGTATTTTATTTATACTTATTTTAGTGCCTTTGTAGGTCTTTAAAAATATATCTAAGATTCCTAATTTTGGAATCTTCAAAAATGAGTTTTAGAATCTAAAACTTTGTGGAGAAAATAAATTCAAATCTGCATTTGGACCCTTCTAATGGACTTTTACAGATGTCTAAAATTCATATGCAATTTCATCAGTTTACATACAAATTCAAAGGTAACTTGGGGTGACATTTAAATTTTTCTCCAAATTTGTAATACTTAGTTTAGGAAATGCTAATGTAAAGTCATGCTGAAGGAAAGAATTCAGTCAAAAACAATAAAAAGATGAAATAAGTGACACAATCTACTTTTTTGATCTGTGCTAAAGTATTTTTAAATCAAAGAAATGGTCAATTAGAGACAGAGAAAGCATATCTGTGCATGGCACTGCCAGTGAATTGGCTTTTTAAAAAGAAAACTCAGGTTATCTTAAAAACAAATCACAAAAGTTACAGACATCAGTTATTTAAACACAAGTTCCTTCAGTAAATCCAAGTTGGCAGATAATTACAAATATTCAATTTCTATCTGTTATAACATATTTTAAAAATGTACAGATATTATATACATAATATAAATTAAATTTTCTTGCAGTCCTTGCAGAGAAATATTACCATTAGGTAGAGCTTTAGCCACACTTTATAAATACATTTTCCAAGATTCTGTAGAAGGTTTTGCATCTTATTCTGCATCTTTAGTCTGCCCAGTAAGAATTAAATACACCAACGTATTTAAAAGCTTTGCAACATTTGAGGATTTTTTTTTTTTAACATATACAATTTATACAGAAATTGAGGCTTCTTGCCAAATGGCAACATAACACTTCCAATTGCCCAGTTTAGTTGCACATGATGCTGGAACATTTGGAAATAATTGTTTACTTTTCATGTATACTTTTAAAAGGTGGTAGATAGGATCACAGTTGGCAAAGCGCCCTCTTTTCACACCTATTTTGTGGGAGAGAAAAGGTCCATTGTGCAGGAATAAACTGGCCACGTTGGGTAAAAAATTACGTAGCAGTTTCACTACTTTAGCTTGAGTGTTACTTTTCAGACAAGTGCCTCATTTTTACATTATTTTACTGACGATGAGTAAACCTAGCGAATTCATAAGGAATACACATTCCTTATAATATCCAGTTATTTAAGAAAATTCAGTGTCTACTTCATATATTACTCTGGAAAGTGATACTTAAAGAAAAAGGTCAGGAAACAGGGATCTGTTCTATTAGAGGCAACAAACTGTGCTTTTTTGTTCCATGTTCAGGACCCCCAGAGGAGGGTCTGCCAAAGTACAAATTTATTAATTTAATTTGAGGAGGGAAATCCATGAATCAATGTTTGCACTAATGCAGAAAATCATAAGAAAAATAAGCAAATGCGGCCAGAGAACTTTTTTTTGCATTAAAGTTTGAATAATAGAGAAACTTCTATTGAATAAAGCATCATTGGATAAAACTAGAACTAGAACTACCGGAAAAGGTAGCGTGAATTTTTCCGCAGGGACCGAGGAGGGGAAAAAAAAAAACGATAAAATTTGCAGAATGATGTGGAAGCAGTGTGCCCGCAGTTGTCATTTTACCACATGGTTGCAGTCGTTTTAGGAATTTAGCATTATGAAGAAACGGTTCCCTGGATACTAAATTTAATGACGGATAGCTTTGGAGCAGCAGTGTAAGCATTTAAGAGAAGTTAGATGGCAGATGCTCCTCTTTGCATCCATCTGTGCATCAAGATATTTAGATATTCAATACCGCAAGCCATGGTCAAATGCACAAAATGCTTCCCTTTTAGACAGCAGATGTTTTGTTGACCTTAAAAATGGGCATGTTCTTCGCTTATTTTTCACGAGACCAGAAAGTCTTAGACTTGATCCATTAGTGGAAGAGTGTCTTTTGTAAGTTGGGCATTTGATTTATAATAACCAAATTATTTTGAAAAGGATGCGGTTCATCTGGCTAAAAGCTTCCTGGTCCAATATTTAACTGCCAAACTTGCAAGAGTGAAGAATGCCAAGATCATCTGGGCACAGTTCAAAAAGGTCATTCAATCACATTTCTTTTTTGCTTGTAACCCTACTGGGTAGATCTAGTGAAGTGCAATTATAGGAGATTGCAGAATAACGAATGCTGTATATGGCTGTCTATTAATCCATATAATTGTCCCTTCCCATGGTCTCCTTTTTATCTGAATGCCACTTTAATGGCTATGATAGCTACTGAATAATAGTTGAGCAACGCTTAAAAAAATAAAATTTGGAGAAAAACGTTTGGTAGTATGATTTTGGACATAATTTAAAAAAATCATATTTAAAACACAAGATTTTATTGGATTTTATGTGGAAGGGAGACTAAGGGGCTCTCTAGTATTTAAGAAGTGCTGATTAGTTTTTGCATGAAAGATCATTTCTTACCTATTGTTATGTGCATAAACATGCTGACAGAGTCTTCTGCATTAGTTTCTATGATAATTCTCTTGAAAGGCTTCTCTTGGAGTTCAGATATTAACAAATACTATATAAAGTGCCTAACATTGTCCTTGTAACTAGCTTGGAAACACAGCCTGACACTCCATTTCCTGCAAATGTTCTGTCAATGCTGGGGAAACATTGACTGCACAATGACACACAACAGCCAACGCATCCCTGCTGTGTCCTGGCACAGTTCCAAGTGTGATCATAAAGGAGGCTTCAACTATCTTGACAAGGAATCTGTCTCGGAGTCAACGTAGCCAGTACACCGTTTTCTTCCCCATTAAATCAAAGTAGGCCCCTGTCTGTCACTGGCCTAAATGAATCCGTAGCAGCCTACAGTGAAATTATAATTTGGCATGAAGCAAACATAGAGGTTTATGGTTCTACAACTTCACATTCTTAGTGATAGAAACAGAAAAATTATCAATAGGCACCTGATGGGTTAAAGACGGACAGGGGTATCCACAAAGCATGGTAAACAAAAGTCAAAATGGCAGCCACAATGGTGTGATTGAAGTTTGGCCTGCTTTCTTAGGTATGTACCGCCATATTGTCTTTTTTTAACCATATTTTACACGTCTTCCTGAAGCTTTCAGTGACTAACTTGCTTCATATGCAAAGTAGCATTCCCCAGCCTCAGTACAAATTGCAAATTATGCTCTTCCCACCTCCAGCAACATCTGTTCAAGCTGTGTCACTTTTTTTTTATTTTAACCTAAAGCAACTTTTTTTAAAAAAAAAACAAGAAATAAGATTAAAGCAAGCTCCACCTTGGAACACAACTTTTAAGACTCGTGGACTTCAATTCCCAGAATTCCCCAGCCAGCCATGCTGGCTGACAAGTTCTGGGAGTTGACATCCACGAGTTTTAACGTTGCCAAGGTTGGAGACCCCTGCTCTATCACCCTGGACCATCAGAAAATGGGTGGGGAACTGGGCTTCTTTTCATCATTTCAACACAAAAGTCCTTGAGAAACATAATTCACAAAAGTAAAGCTTACATCCTGCTTAACCAGTGCGTTTGCCTTAATGGCAAGTGGGAGAAAATACTTTAGCATGGCATCAAACAGTTCAACCCCTTCGTGTGTTTCAAGTATCAACTTCAAGATCTACCCAGCCACCCACAAAAAAAAACCCCTCATACAAACCAAAAATCATCTAACCCAAGTATTATTTTTTTATCCTGAACAATTTAGCACTGATTAATTGGCATGTACTGGCTCTTTCACCATTATTTGGTCCATATTAGAAGAGCTTTACATTTTCGTTTCTTCCCGCCCCCGCCCCCAGCTTTGGGGAAATTGGGGTAAAAAAAAAAAAATATATGTCTTCAAACTCGATTAAGGAATTCCAGGTTGAGGGAAGCTGGGATGTGGATAGAGTCCATGGTCAGAGACGAAGGAGTGAATGGAAACAAAACCGGGAACATGAATTTGAAGTCTAACAGAAGCTGTGGAGGATCATTTCGCTCTTGCAATTGTGCCTAGAAGGAATCAGAAGAAAATTATTAGCAAAGAAAATCAGACAGGTGGTTGTTTTAAGCCACAACTTTGCCCTCACAGCCGAGTCTTGAGTTTCTCAAGAGTAGGACTCATCTGTTTGAGTTTTAGGAAGGTAAGACATCAACTGATTCTTCTTCTTTTTTAGCCAACTAACTTGACAGCACTGTATTATAGGATTGTTTGTTTGGAAACTAGCAGTCACTCCTGGCACTATCTAGCTCAGAGGTGTACAAGCTTGGTAAATTTTAAGATGTGTGGACTTCAACTCCCAGAATTCCCTAGTCAGCCATGGTATCTTACCAAAAGAAAAGCAATAGAAGACCATAGCTAGAACTGGCCATGGCACCACCTGGTGTACTGTGTAAATCAGAGGATATAATCTGGCAATTTGTTCAGTATTTTTTAAATAGCAACAGCTGTCAGGCTTTGTTTCTGTTTTTAGTTTAACCTTGTATATGGTGAAGGTGAACAATTCAGCTGCCGCTATCCTGCAGTACCAGGGTAAGATTACAGTAACTGACAGAAGTGGGACAGAACTGGTAGCTGTGATTTCACATCAGTGTGTAAATATTATTATTATTGTTTATTGTTTATTATTATTATTATTATTAAATTTATCAGACTTGAATACCTTGATTCGAGAAAAAAAAACCTACCCTACTTGGAACAGCTTATATCCTCCGACGCAACCTTAACAGTTCCTGGGTTCTTGGTTGAGCTACCAACCAGCCCAAAAGGCTTTGAATCTCACTAAAGATTTAATAACAACAACAACAATAATAATAATAACTCTGAAATAACGGCCATCCCAGGTCCTTGGATAGGACATAATAGGTGAGCAAAAATGCCAAATTCAGCATAGACATCTAAGTGATTGTAAGACTGACCATAATAATTTAAACTTGAAGCTGCTCAATTCTCAGTGACTGAACAATGCACACCAAACAGAATTTAATCCTATGCCCTACCAATCTGGCAATCTTTACTTATTCTTTGTGCATTTATCTTTTGTCAATTTGGAGTTCTCCCTGCAGTATTGAGTGTTCTCTCACTACATTTTATTAGCCTTAACAGAATGTCACAAATGAGAAAGTTCTACGAAGAAGTAATTCCTGAAGAGTCTTAGATAGTGACAAAACAAAGAACATGCTTTGCAGGACACATGCTCCACATGAGTTTGCAATGTCCAGCAAAGACTGCAATCAACTGGATACCCCAGGATGGTTGGGGAAAAAGAGGAAGGGCACAGAAAACCTGTCACCAAACATTTCAGGACGATCTGAAAAACATCAACTTCAGATGGAAAGATCGGAGATTAAATGCGACCAAGGATGGTGGAGTATGCTTGTAGCCCAATGTGCTTGGCATAGGACTGTGATGGCAAAACTATGGCACACATGCCGGAAGTGGCAAACAGAGCCATCTCCGCCGGCCTGTGAACCGTTACCCCAGAGCAGTTCCACTGCGCAGGCATGTGCGCCACACGTCCGCCAGCCGATCGTCGGCTAGCTGTCGCTCATGTATGAAGGGCGGGGCGTTCCAGGAGACGTGCACATGCACAGAGACAAATGGCGCTCAGGCAGGGGGGTTGTGCATGCATGTGTAGGAGGCATGGGGCTCCCCGCGTACATTGCCTTATGGGTGCTGGCATGCGCGCATGTGTGCGCGGGCAGTTTTGGCATGCAAGGATGGAAAGGTTTGCCATCACTGGCATAGGATTTGATAGAACAGGAACAAATTAACCTGTAGCTCAGGTGCAGGCCCTCATGTGAACAAATTAACCTGTAGCTCAGGTGCAGGCCCTCATGTGAACAAAACTGCAAGTCCATTTCTTAGCACCTCCAAAATGGGTCTCCGATATCAAATCAGAAGAAAAAGTCATCTCCAAACAGGCTATTGCTGCCATTTGAAATAGAAAATACTAAGACTCCCTGGGTCAACTAATTGACTTAAAGGTAGTTTATGTACAGGTGGTCCTCACCTTACGACCACAATTGTGCCCAACCTTTATGTTGCTAAGTGAGAAATTTGTTAAGTGAGTTTTGCCCCCTTTTACAACTTTTCTTGCCCCATTTGTTAAGTAGATCACTGCAGTGGTTAAATTGGTAACACGGTTGTTAAGTGAACCTGGTTTCCCCATTGACTTTACTTGTCAGAACGTCACAGAAAGGGGATCACATTTAGTTTAGTTTACTTTATTGTCATTGCACCTCGTACAACACCATCCTCAGTGTAAATCATGACCATGAAAATAAACACAACACACATCCTTCACCCTCCACACATTGAACCGAAAACCACCAACACTACATCAACACTGCACTATACAGCAGAATTCAAAAGAGCTACTGCCCTGGGATAGAACCTGTTTTTCAGCCTATTTGTCCTTGTTTTTATTGTCCTGTACCATCTGTCAGATGGTAATAGTTCAAAAAAAGGGTTCCCAGGATGAGATGGATCTTGGAGAATGTTTTGAACTTTCTTAAGGCAGCGTGAGCTACAAAGCTCTTCCAAAGAGGGGAGAGGGCAACCAATGATGTTTTATGCAATGACATTAACCCTCTGGAGTGCTGTCCTATCTGCCACTGTGCAATTTGTCGTATAATCTCTGCTGGGCCCTTTTGACCAGGGCTGCAATGTGAGCACCTCGAGTCAGATCCCACATGACCCTGGGACACTGCAATGATCATAAATGAGAGTCAGTTGCCAAGTGTCTTAATTTTGATCATGTGACTATGGGGATGCTACAATGGTCATAAGTGTGAAAAATGGTCATACGTCACTTTTTTCAGTGCTGTTGTAACTTCGAATGGTCATTAAGCAAACTGTTGTATGTCGAGGACTACCCGTATTCCTACTTATGAGAAGACACATAGATGAGAGGCTAATGGGAGAATACTTGTTTGCTTTTCAATGGTAGAGGCTACAGCCAGCTCAAGATTTAATTGTTGGGTTCCTGTCATTGACGGGAAGAATAGCTACTATAAAAATGAATATTTTACCAAGACTATTATACTTATTTCAAACAATTCCAATAAAGCTGGGGGGGGGGGGGGGGGGATATTTTGAAGAACTAGATAAAATAATACTATGATATATTTAGTTAGGGAAAAAAGCAAGAAGAAGCCTGAAAATGTTGCAGGATTCCCAAAAAATAAAAGCTTTGGGTTGCCAGATTGGGAATTGTATTATCAGGCCTCGGTACTTTTACATGGTGAAAGAATGGATTAATTTGAGGCATAAAAGACTATTAACAGTAGAGGGATATGACCTTCAGTTAGGTTGGCATGCTTTCTTATGGTATGGGAAAAATAAGATACTATTAGCTAGTATATATTTACTTCTGTCCTGTTCTCCTAATACACTAAACCAGAGGTCTCCAAACTTGGCAACTTTAAGACTTGTGGACTTCAACTCCCAGAATTCTGGGAGTTGAAGTCCACAAGTCTTAAAGTTGCCAAGTTTGGGGGCCCCTGCACTAAATAATAATCCATTAACATTTTCAATGTTAACTATTAGCTATTAACTATTAGCTAAGATACTAACTATTTTCAAAGACATTATATTAGAAATGCACTGCTATCATATGGGTAAAAATTAAAGAACAACACTATTTGAAAATACCAGTCTGGCTTTCCACAATGAAAGCACTGACACATCCTAATGTTATCAATATGGAACAAATTATAAGATACAGTGATATTTTGAATGAAAAGGGGGAATTAAAAACTAAGCAAGAATTGAGCAGTCAAGGGATGGATATAGCATGGTGGCCACAAGAGCAGATACAATCTCGATCTGAGAAAGATGCTAAAATGTATGGTTTTAAGATTTAACTGTTGGGTTCCTGATGATCACTAAGCCTGGTCGTTTTCCTACAGACATTTCATCAACAGGCTAGACAATATCCCTGCATAGGGGAATTAGGTTTGCTTGATTGCTTACAGATAGTCTTCAACTTATGACCGGTCACTTAGATGTTCAAAGTTATGGTAGACCTCCCTAGGAGTAATGACCCAGTTCTGAAATTTCAATAGCCAGACCTCCAAAGATGTATTATAAAAACTAGACACAACCTTTTAATTGTGTGACAGATGTAAAATTCCCTATATTTAGAATATAACTTACCTGTATGTTTCTTATGAAGTTTACTGTCACTCGCTCTTCAAACTCGTTCACAGGAGTGTAAAGATTTAGTATTTTTACGATCTAAGGAGCAAAGATCAAATGAGGGTTATAGAGGAGATGCAACACACACTACGACATCACAGGTCCTCAACAGAACAAAGCGTAGGAAATGGGTGGAATTTCAGCTTAGAAAGCTTAGAAAGGAAGACAGGCTTGTCCCATCTGCAACGAGAACTTCAAGAGAACTGGTGCGCCTGAATGTGTGCTCCCTTTATCCACAATTGTACATATTGTGCAAGATTGACCACAACGTGTGTTCTCTGGTTCCCTAGAAGACCTGCACGAAGCAACATCCAGAGGTGATCACCTCTGAATTGGACATCCACTTATGAAGCTGCTGCCGTACACCTGTAGAAGTTTTGTATATAATTTTGCAGATTGCGTGTATATATTTACTTCTGTCCTGTTCTCCTAATACTCTAAACCAGAGGTCTCCAAACTTGGCAACTTTAAGACTTGTGGACTTCAACTCCTAGAATTCTGAGAGTTGAAGTCCACAAGTCTTAAAGTTGCCAAGTTTGGGAACCTCTGTGCTAAACAATAATCCATTAACATTTTCAAGTTCCCTTAGTTACTTAAAATAATCTTCATCAGCCAGATGCTGGATTTGGCCAAAGCAAAAAGGTTTGGGGGAATTATTTGCAAATTATCAGCACTACACCATTATAATTTGACCCAAAGCAAGGATGCCTAAGCTCAAATCCTTACTCTGACTTGAAGCTCCCTTGCAACCTTTCTACACTGAATGAACAGAATTGGAAGAAGCAATGGGTAAATTCTCATGTTCAACCTTTTTAATCAGTTGTTCTGAATTCGTGAATAATGTGTACCTGCTGGGTAGTGAGGGATGTGCATAAGGAACAGATGGCCTCAGCATCTTCAGGTGTTTTCTTTTTCAGCTGCAGGAGTTGTGCTGCCTGGATCAGTGGTTCCAGGGTTTTGGCAGCCCCACTCGAATGCAGGTTCTTCCCTCTCAGCCATTCCTCCAGTTGGCTGATGTTAAACCTGGAACCCAACACAATGAAGACACAAGTTATGAGAAGAATTGGCAAGACGCTTCTGAATCCTGCTGAAAGGTTGGGAGTGATCTCAACCAGCCTGTGCCTGGATCGGTTAGTAAAGGATGTATCTCCAAGCTCCTTGAGAGCAGCCACTGAGTGGAATTAACAAGATGGATGGAATTTTTCCCTTGCATGTTTACGGTTTCCTTTTGTTTGGGTCAACTGAGCGTAGATCCATTGGTTCCAACAGGAATTGACTGACTGGCTTGTCACCTGAGCTTGCTGTCTGAAAGAGCGTGACTGGCCCATAGTCACCCAGCGGCCTTTTATGCCTAGGGCAGAATTAAAGCTTATTTGGTGATTGGCCCAAAGTTACCCAGCCAGCTTTTGTGCCTAAGGTGGGACTAGAACTTACTGTCTCTTGATGATTGGCCCAAAATTACCCAGCCAGCTTGCATGCCTAAGGCAGGACTAAAACTTACCGTCTCCTGGTCATTGGTCCAAAGTCACCCATCCTGCTTTTGTGCCTAAAGCAGGACTGGAACTCACTCGCTAGTTTCTAACCTGATGCCTTAACCACTAAACCAAACTGGCTGTTGTCTGACGGAAAAAATACTCTGACACAAAGCAGCACTTTGCGTTACCATCAACCTATGAATGCCAGTACCCAGGAAGGTGTTGCAAGCAAACCTTAGAGGCCATTTCCCCAAAATATGTCACATTGCAGCCTGCTTTCACTTCAAATGTTGTGGCGCAGTGGTTAGAGCGCAGTACTGCAGGCTACTTCTGCTGACTGCCGACTGTCTGCAATTTGGCAGTTCGAATCTGATCAGGCTCAAGGTTGACTCAGCCTTCCATTCTTCCAAGATGGGTAAAATGAGGACCCAGATTATTGGGGGCAGTAGGCTGACTATGTAAACTGCTTAGAGAAGGCTGTAAAAGCACTGGGAAGTGATATATAAGCCTAAGTACTATTGCTAAGCCAATGACACTCCCAGGTAGAGCAACTGTAATGAAGGAGGACCAGATTTACACCAGGATCTATCATTTCCCTTCCTTTGTTTTGGGGCACAGTCCTTTAGCTTGCAATGGCTGAATAGCCAAAGGTTCTGAAGCATGAAGAAAGAGTATCATTATTCCATGCGTGTCCAGGGTTACTTTCATCCATCTATAGCAGTATGTCTCAACTTTTGCAACTTTTAAGACATATGGACTTCAACTCCCAGAATTCCCCAGCCAGCATGAATTGAAGTCCACAAGTCTTAAAGTTGCCAAGGTTGAGACACAGATCTACAGGAAGTAGGACTTCCTCCTCCTCCAACAAAACACTCTGCCTTGAATGCGTCACCCATCTACCTTTCAGCCTGAATCTTACCTAATCTGCATGCCGGTGCTCCAAGAACATACATCCTTCCTCAGCAGGAGGTTGTTCAAGGCCACAGCATTGATCATATAGAAGAGCTGCTTAATGGCCTGTTGGATGATCTCTGGGTCAAGGCCCTGGTCATACATGATGCTCAAAAACGTGTTCAGTTGGCGGATGATTGCTTCCAAACTGTAGGTGTTTTCGCTGTCCCCTCTGCTGGAGCTTCGTTTGCGATAGCCCATTGGCTTGACACCTGACAGGCCTTGGATGCTTTCATTTTCCAATACCGCAGTCACTGAGAAGGGAAAGAAAGAAAAGAAATACTCAAACAGGGAACAACATAAGCTGCGCAAATTCTCATTTTCCCATAATTGTTTACAATCGGTGTGTCAACTCAAAAAGATTTATCTGGTCTTTTAGAATTGCCAGCAAAAAGGGAATGGGTGAAGTAGCGCATTCCTTAAATGCTTCGTAGATAATCGCTAGGTGGACGAAGCTTCTGGCACACAAGATTATTACTGGAGAGCATGATTAATGATTCTTGGCTATGTATGTGTCCCATTGGAGAATATACATCCAGGGGGGCATGGGGAAGACCAGGGTGAAATGAATGATGTGTCTCAGAGACGGCTGCACCCAGGTAGCATCGGCATGTTCACTTCTAATAAATCTTGTTTTCCTGATTTTCCTTCACTCATGATTTGAATGGGGGTGGATGCTGGAGCCCTGACACGGTGGCTCTTGGATTCTCCTCTCCAATTTCCCACCCTGGCTGAGCAATTCTGAAATTTGAAATCCACAGGTGGCCAAGGCTGGACATCCCCGGTGTAGATAATCCTCAATGGTACTACTCAGTTGAGTTAATTATGCCTTTCACCTATCATGGGCTGCAAGACGCCTTCGGCAATTTTGATGAGTTGCTGGTAGATCTGGATGGAGAGATCACTCAGGACCTGACGGTACTCGGTGAGGTCAAAGTTCTTCAGGCAATGCTCATTCTGCTTGGGGGTATTTTGGGTCATAAACCCCTGCAAAGGAAGAACAACAGAAAATAGCAATGTAACGGCAGGTTGGATTATAATTATGAAGAGAAAAGCTCCAAGTATTGGAAGGTTGGTAGGTAAAGCAAAAGTTTGCGGAGCAAATTCTGAGGAGAACTGGAACTTTTGGCCTAGATTTTAGGAAAAGACCCTGTAGCCATCTTGGAAGTGAACATTTAAGATGGCTACAGGGTGCAATATAATTCTTATGATGCCCATAGCAGGGGGATCAAACTTGATTTCACTGAGGACCGCATCAGAGTTGTGTTTGACCTCGTGTGTGTGTGTGTGGCCGGGGTGGGTGGGGCATGGCCAGCTTGACGTCAGTTTTCAGCTAGGACGAACTCCTGCAGCCCTCTGCCAGCAAAAATGGAGCTCTGGTGGACTGCATGTACCCCCATCCAGAGCTCCGTTTTCAGCTGCAACAGCCTCCTTCAGCCCTCCAGGATGCATTTTCACTGGCAGAGGCACCACAGGCTGGTCCTTCACTGTTACCAGGACGGCCCTGCGGGCCAGATCTAAGCACCTGGTGGGCCGGATCTGGCCCGCGGGCCTTGAGATTGACACCCCTGGCCTAAAGAGCTGTTTCAGGCTCCCACGTATTCCAGTTACTTGTATAGGCAGATTGCCATAGGATAGGTCTGCTACCAAGAACTTCTCTCCAAGTGACAAAGAGTGAACATTTGCGAAGTTAAGAACTGAAGTTTGCAGCTGTATCAATATTTCCTCCCACAAAGTGTGGAAAAGAGATCAGGAGGCAGGAAAGGAAAACTTAAGATTCATCGCCTGTTCTTGCTTTAGACTAATTTTCATTTTGATGTTAGTTCATGAAATCAGGTTAAAATGTGGAATCAGGCCTTTTGTCTGCTACCAACGGTGCAGGAGCGTGAATGCTAACTCAGAAGTGAATTCAATAAGGCTTGTGTTCAGAAAACTGCAAAGTTCATAGAACAAAAGTATTGCTTGTTCTTTTAATTAGTTACATGATCAGCCCAATCGTCCGATCTATAATTCATTAACATCAGCAGATACTCAAACTGGAATAGTAGCTATAATGTCAAGCCAAAATTTATAAGAGGCAAAAAGACATACTAATAGCAAATTAATTTTATCTTGGTCTGCTCTTCCATCTTGAAGAGACACCAATAGGACGGAGACTTAGATAGCCACAGAGTCCTTACAGCCCCCTCTAAGCAATTTTACAGAATCAGCCTATTGCCCCCAACAATCTGGGCCTCCATTTTACCGACCTCGGAAGGATGGGAGGCTGAGTCAACCTTAAACCCTGTCAGGATCGAACTCCAGGATGTGGGCAGAGTTAACCTGCAATATTGTCTCCTTACCACTGCGCGCCATCAGGGCTCAAAGGCCTGGCATGAAATGGTATTGTACACTTACAACAGTTCATTAATGGCAGTTACAATGGCAGTGAAAAAAAAGGACCTATGACCATATTTCACAGTTACGACTTGCACTTTTCACAGTTACAACCCCCATAGTCACGTGATCAAAATTCAGATGCTTGGCAACTGGTTCATATTTATGACGTTTGCGGTACCCTGGGATCATGTGATCACCTTTTATGACATTCTCATAAGTAAAGTCAATGGGGAAGCAAAAAGACCATAGAAATGTTTTATTTCTACACCCAGGCATTGCTGGACATGTGAACTCCCAATAAATCCTTTTGAAGCTTTGGAAGTTTGGCTCGAGGCTCATGATTTGATTGGGGTAACTGCCAGAATCCTGACAGCCAGATTGACTTAACAAGCGGGCTACTGACTTATCAACTGCAGTGATTCACTTACCAACCGGGGCAAGAGAGGTCATAAAACGGGGCAAATCTCACTTAACAAATGTCTCATTTAATAACAGAAATTTGGGGCTCAATTGTGATTGTAAGTCGAGGACTACACCGTACTTTGCCAACAGTCTTTACATGAGACACCTAAATTGCAGAAAAGTCCTTAGCAAATCTCCCACTGACCTCAACGTGAATATATTCACTGTAGTCTGGAAATCTCAAGGCATACAGGTAGTCCTTGACTTATGACAACAATTAGGACTGGAGCTCCTGTCCCTAAGCAACGTGGTTGATAAGTCTGTGACACTAATTTTACTACGTCACTCAGTGAATCGCACAACTGTTCAGTTAATCCAGCTTCCCCCACTGACTTTGCTTGTTCGAGGCCAGCTGGGAAGGTTGCCAATGGCAATCCCCTGGCCCTGGGAAGAGGCAACCATTGTAAAATATGCGAATTACCAAGTGTCCAAATTGCGATCGCATGACCACAGGGCCACTGCAACAGTTGTCAGCGCGAGGACTGGTCGTAATTTAATACTGTAAGCTGCCCAGAGTTGCTTTCAAATGAGATGCACAGCGCATCAATTGTTGTGGCCCGCCAACGGCCAGCAGAGCTGGCGTCAGACTTGGACAATGAGGAGGTTGGGGAGGAGCATGGGCCAGTCCTGGAGTCTGGGGAAGGCTCTGACGAATGCTCTGCGTCAGAGGCAGAGATGGGGCCAGGGCTGTCTGACAGTTATCAGCTATCTTTGAAGTCGGAGATCACTGGGAAAGAAGAAGAGCTGGAGCCTGTTCCCAGTGTGCACATGCGCAGAGCTGCTAGGAGAAGGGAACAGTTAAGGAACAAGGGTCGACTTGGAAGTAAAGGCTCAGGTGGATGGCGAATGGCCCCCTCCCATAGGGAATAAAGAGGAGTGAAAAGGGAGTGGTGTTTGGCAGAGACAATTAGTTCAATTCATTAGGGTGAAGATCTGTTCCTGACTTCTTGCCAAGTAATGTCTGCTACAGTGTGGTGTTTGGAGGATATCAGCCTGGCAACTCTCTGAGTCTGATAAAGGTCTGTAGTTGTGTAATCTCATGAAAGACTGTTTGCCAGGACTAAATAAAAGGGGTTTTATCGGAACAAGGAGTCTGCTTCATGCTTTTGGGAAGCCTAGTCAGAACATCAGTGTGATAAATAAATAAATCCCTTTTTTCAGTATTGTTATGTCTTCAAAAGATGGTCAAATTGAATGGTCATAAGTCATGGACTATCTGTACTGTATGACCATCCATCAGGAAGAATCAAAGAGAGTTTTTTTTTTTTTTTAGCAACAAGGCTCTCATCCCTGATACAATCATTCTCTCACCGTATCTCCGCTGTATTGCTTCAGACAATGTAGAAGGCGACACGTGTTGGCCAGCCAGAATGACGTCATCTCAAAATCCTCATTATGTTTCTATGGAGAAGCCCCAAAAATACCATGAATAGCAATAGCAATAGCACTTAGACTTATATACCGCTTCACGGCACTTTTCCAACCCACTCTAAGTGGCTTACAGAGTTAGCCTATTGCCCCCAACAATCTGGGTCCTCATTTTGACCTTGAAGGATTGGAGGCTGAGTCAACCTTGAGCCTAGTGAGATTTGGTCTGCCAACTTGCAGTCAGCTGGCAGTCAGCAGAAGTAGCCTGCAGTACTGCATTCTAACCACTGCGCCACCACGGCTCAGTGGTGAATCTTTGCCTTTGGTCAGTTATGCCATAAAAAGGATCAGCAACTAGAAACACCACGTCCTGTTCTAGAGCCATTAGAGACAAATGGGTGTCCAATGTCTTCCTAAAACCCTCCAATGATTGAGCACCCACAACTTCTGGAGGCCAGCCGTTCCACTGGTTAACTGTTCCAACTGTCTTTGCCTAGTAAGGGTATGTATATTCTTTTGTAGCGTTAAACCACTTTTTATTATTACAAGCCTCTGTTTGATGTTGTTGCTCACATAGTCACACTGTGCAAACTCTTGACACCTTTGAGTCATCTCAAAGGTGTAAAGGTAAAGGTCAAAGGTTCCCCTTGCACATACATGCTAGCTGTTTCCAGCTCCAAGGGTCGGTGCTCATCTCTGTTATAAAGCCGAAGAGCCAGTACTGTCCAAAGACGTCTCCATGGTCATGTGGCTGGCATGACTAAATGCCAAAGGCTCACGGAACGCTGTTACCTTCCCACCAAAGGGGTCCCTATTTTTCTACTTGCATTTTTTACATGCTTTCGAACTGCTAGGTTGGCAAAAGCTGAGACAAGTAACAAGAGCTCACTCCGTTACGTGGTCCTAGGGATTTGAACCGCTGACCTTTCTGATCGACAAGCTCAGCGTCTTAGCCACTGAGCCACTATATATACTCAAGGGAATATATCATGCAATAAACATTCCAAAGTCTACCAGTGAAAAATGAAACTTAGTTTTACCTTTAATACTTTTTTAACACTGTTAATAGTGGAGGTAAGCAACGAATGCACTTTTTGATCATCATTAATGTAATCAGCATGTCTGATGCACATAAATAGGATGTAGGCAGGCAAGCAGGGCACAGTGGCAGATACTGTTTGGGGCTTCAGATCTGTGGGCAGGAAAGAAAGCCTTTGAACAACAGGAGTCCGTAGCAATTTAAAGTATAAATTCTATACTGATGGACCCTGGGCACTTACCTAAATCAAAATTAGTCACCGAATTATTTTTATTAACTGATCTCATTTCTCCAGCATAAAATATATTTAAACCTCTGTCCTATTTTTAACAATCCCTTTATTCCCATTATATATTTTGGAGTTGAACCGTGCCAAGCCAAGAAAGAAAATGAAAATGAATAATGCTTGATGATAAATTGTTCAATGTGTAAATCAAGTTCTTCAGCCTTTTAAAGTGACATTTATGATTCTTCTCAATGTTATAAAGACTTTCCCCTTTTACAAGGAATAACAATGGTAGGGGAAGTGCTGTGTTCTCTTTCACCAGACACATTTAAGAGAAAATAGACAGCCCTTTTAAAATTTGGACTTCCCAATGAACAGGAAGGAGATTACTTGACTACTTATAATAGGTAAATCCCCTCTTCAAACTCTACAATCCTATGACTCTGATTCAGGGGTCCCCAAACTTGGGAACTTTAAGACTTGTGGACTTCAACTGCCAGAATTCCTCAGCCAGCTATGAGTTGAAGCCCACAAGTCTTAAGGTTCCCAAGTTTGGAGACCTCTGTTCTGATGAATAGATTCGTTCTTACTTTGGCAGCAAACTATTACAAAGCCCCTTTATAACTACAATATTAAGAGCTAGATGGAAACCCTAAACAAAATCATTTTACCTGTAATGAGATTTTTCATGAGTGAAGATTCATCCTCTTCGCAATATTCTAACATTCCCTGGAAGTCTTTTTCCTTCCTTTGCACGGCGACTTGCCGGCTGATTTCGTGTTTCCGCTTTTCAGAGTGTGTAATGGCTTGATCAGCTGTGAAAGGCAAATCAAGAACAAAGTCAACCAACCCCTTTCCCAGATGGCCTGAAGCAGCCGCACTCTTCAGAGGCCCCTCTGCGCTCTGGTTGACTCAGTGGTCTGTCCCAGGCTCATTGGAGCTACAAAAATGATAACTGAAATAACACAAGAAATCAAATAAAAGTTCTGATTCTGGTTAAAAAGCCGGAAGATGGTTATGCAACTGTGTGGTTCCTTTTCATATTCTTCAGAGTAAATGCTATGATAAAAACCAGCATTAATAGAAGCACACACCACCTACCTGTACTCTAATGTCCATTATTAATACTGAGGTCTCATATCATGAAAACTAATTATAAAACATCGTTATATTTTACTCCTAGCAACCACGTATATTAGAAAGCCAAAACATACGGTCCATTTCCTGGTCTTGTATAGTCTAGCATTTGATCACAAAGGCTGCCAGCCGATACCTGTGAATCTTACGTCCAAGTCTTTCTCCTTTATCTCCTGCTTTAAAGAGCTTGTTGCACTGGTCTGCAGATTACACCTGCTATCTTGGACATATTCCACCTTTTCCTGAATATTTTCCAACAACCGCAAAAAAACCCACTCCACAGATTTTAAAAAAATGTATGTGCTGAGAAGGAAGCCAACACATGTGTTTGGGGTGGGGGGTGGGGGGGAATGGCAGTCCAAATAATGGATCTTTTCCATCAGTTGTTCAATAGAAAAAAGATTTTACTGTTCTAAAAATATATATGCATGTATGTACACACAGACACATACATATGTATACAAGATGCACCCAAAGTCAAGACCCATAAATAATCCATTACATCAATCACATTAAATGCTCACTTTGTTTGTCATTTTTTTAACACTTCTTTAATCATTTGACATAGGCGTTTTGAGCATTTTTGCATACAGTAATTTTTCTCTTTAAAATGTTATTAAAACATTGTAATTGACCTATGGGTCTTTTGTATTATTATCTTTTGGTGCATAATTCATTTAATAATAGTTCAAATGAAATGTTTTATTTTAGTTGATAATTATTTTTGTTGATAATTGTATTATTTATTTTAATACAATACAATTTATTTATTTACTTTAGTTTTTGTTGATAATTGTATTATTGTATTAGCTCAAAGATTCAATGAAAATTATATATATATAAAAAGATTGAACTGGAAATGTAACAAATAAATCTTATCTCTGTTTTACCATTTTTTGTGATTCTCGCCATATTTCAGTGGTGTAAGTATGCTAGAGCCACTGCATCATTTGCTATATCTATCCTCACTTTCAGGACTCAGTAAAACTCTCTGGACTTAGAACAGGGGTCTCCTAACATGGCAACTCTTAAGATTGGTGGACCAACTCCAAGAATTTCAGCCAGCGTGAAATCCACAAGTCTTGAAGTTGCCATATTTGGAGATGCCTGTTTTAGAGAAAACATAATATCATTGTAAGGATAGGACCTATCTGACAAATAAACCTCCAACTCTTAATAAGAAGATGAAGATGGTAATCAAATTGAAGGTTTACAACCTTGCTAAGGATAATGGGTACTTTCTGCTGCCTTGCCTTCTTCACCAGGGAACAAATGCTGCAGTTGCAAAATGCATTAAAGAAATGGATATGAAGACACAACTCAAAAAACTTTGTGCCAGTCAGTTTCATGCCTATAAATTATAATGACAAGAACCATCTGTGCCAGTTGCCATGACGTGTACAGTCTTTCAATTCCTTTGGTTGAATTTCATTTAACGATCAGCTTTCTGAGAACCAGGTTTTGGGATCCAAGCTGCAGTAGCTAATCACTCCATCAAGCCATCAAAAGAATATATTTCTAATATGCTGCTTCTCCTTTCCATCGATGCAAATACATAGCAATCTCTAAAAATCAGCCTTTAAGGCAGTGAGAACCAGCAGGTGGAGACATTTCTCCTCTGATACTGCAAATAGCAAGACCAAAGGAAGATTTGACCATAGCTGGGTGGGGGGAAAAAAAAGACTTTTTAAAGTTTTCTAGTCTTGCCCCTTTCAATAAACAGAAGAGCAAATATCCAATCAATGAAGACGACTACGTGTAAGGACAATGTAGCTCAAGGGTCTTCAAACTTGACAGCTTTAAGACTTGTGGACTTCAACTCCCAGAATTCCTGAGCTAACATGACTGGAGGAGGAATTCTGGGAGTTGAAGTCCACAAGTCTTAAAGCTGCCAAGTTTGAAGACCCCTGATGTAGCTCTTTGAAATGCAAAAATATGTTTCAAGACAGACAGGGCTGTCAATTTAACACTTGCCTCCCTCTCCTTAAAAAGCAGCTGAACCTTCCTAGGATTATATAGGAGCTTAAAGAAGGGAACTGCTAGACCCCAGGAAAGAAGTTGCAAAACAGGTACTAAGTTGCATCTCACAGCTCTGCAAAGGATATGAGAGAAACAACCAGGTATTGTCTATGGAGATTCTCAGTCCTCTAGGTCACCGTTGTCCCAAAGGTGCTTTTTCAAGAGGCAACTGGACTTTCTGTTTTTTTCTTTGAAGACGTTTCACTTCACATCCAAGAAGCTTCTTCATCTCAGTGCTCAGAGCTAAAGAAGCTTCTTGGATGAGAAGCGAAATGTCTTCAAAGAAAAACCAGAATGTCCAGTTGCCTTTTTAAAAAGCACCTTTGGGACAACCAGGAATAGTGATGGCTCCTAATACAGGTAGTCCTTGATTATTTAGCGACCATTCAAAATTACAATGGTACTGAAGTGATTTATGACTGCTTTTACACTTACAACTGTGGTAGCCTCCCCATGGTCACATGATCAAAATTCACAGTTTTGGCAACTGACTCATTTATGACAGTTGTGGTGTCCTGAGGTAATGTGATCACTTTTGGCGACCTTCTGACAAACGAAGTCAATGGGGAAGCCAGATTCACTTCACAACCATGTTACTATCAGCCATGAGCCGTGGTGGCGCAGTGGTTAGAGTGCAGTACTGCAGGCTACTTCTGCTGACAGCTGGCTGCCTGCAATTTAGCAGTTCAAATCCCACCAGGCTCAAAGTTGACTCAGCCTTCCATCCTTCTGAGGTCGGTAAAATGAGGACCCAGATGGTTGGGGGCAAGAGGCTGACACTGTAAAACCACTTAGAGAGGGCTATAAATCACTATAAAGTGGTATATAAGTCTAAGTGCAATTGCTACTGCTACTAAAATTGGTGATGGCCAGTGGGGTCTTCCAAAAACCATTTCTCTTTATCTCAAGTCAAGAAGAATTTTTTACTCTTATTTGTGCCGTTTTCTTGGTGCTCTCTGTGTGAAGCGGTAAATAAGTTTAAATGCTATGGCTACTAACATAACAACAGTGATTCACTTAACAATTGTCTCGCTTGGCAACAAATTTGGGGATCGTAAGTCTGTGGTTGTAAGTCGAGGATCACCTGTACTGTTCACCCTTCCTTTGAAAAGTAGCGGCACTTGACTTCCGGTTTGAAGGGCTTCGGCGACAGACAGAAATCCACGATCATGCGCGGTTTCTGTCTCGGCTTACCGCTGGAGCGCCCAGAGCCGGTTGGTTTCGGAGCTAAGCCACCCCGTAGAGGTGGTGAAGAGTGGGGAGACTGCCAGCAGGGTTGTGGAGAGCTGCATCTCTCCTCCTCAGCTGGCCATTACTCCCTTTCCCGAAGGCCGTTGCAGCGGTGGTCAGAAATGGCCACCACAAAGGAGAACTCGACTGGAAAAGAATGCGCAGGAGGAAGATAAGAAGTGAAAGTTTTGGCTGACCGGGTTAAATTGTAAAAGCAACAACTAAGGTACCCTGGAATTTAAACTTAGAAAAAATAACATTGTTCCCAAAGAAGAGTCGGAAGCAGAGAAGGGAAGTGAAAAGGGAAAGGTTTGCCTTTTTTTTTCTTCTCTTTCCTTCCCTATACTGACAACTAAGAGACTTAAATAAGAAATTGGAAAAATCCGCTTTGACATCAATAGGCAATTAAGCTGAAAATAAAACAAAATGCCAAAGGGATAATAAAGATTTCTGGACATTAAAAATTTCTTTTTCATAAGCAGGAAGGGAGAGAAAAAGAATAAGGGCAGGATCTGGAAGAGGGAGGAGACTGCCTGGAATTAAAAAGAATCTACAGTAAAACTTCAACAAGACTTCTAAAAGATACATTTTAACTGAAACTTTGCAACTAAATAGTAACCCCAGGAAAAGAAAGTGAAAAAAAAGAGCAAAAAAGAAACAGCTTGCGTGTATTTGGATTATTTGATGATCTTTGGATTCTTGGTTATTATATTTGAATGACTAAAATCAATCGGGTGGTTGTTTAAAAATTTATACAATGGCACCACTTCTGGATGAATTGAAAATGGAACTTAAAAAGTACAAAGAAGATGCACAAGAAGGGAAGGGTTCTTTTGGCTTCGTTTTTCAATTCTTAGAAATGGAGATTTGGAACTATGAGAAACAACAAGAAACGACTGCAAAACAAGAAGACTGGGACAAAGAAGAAGCCATCTTTAATGAACAAGCAATTTTACGTGGGGAAGAAAAAGGAAAGGGGGGGGAAAGAGAATGGAGAATTTAAGACTTAAAAAAACAACCAAAGAAAAGAAAAATAATTTGAAAAATAAGTATAATACTGGAAAGCAACAGAAAAGGGGAATACAGAAGAGAGAAATAGAGGTAGAGAGACAAGTGGGTAAAAAGGGGAGAGAAGAAGAAGAGAGGGAAGAAGGAAAGGAAAAGAAGTTACAAAGCAAGATAGAGAGAAACAGGGCCTATTTAGAGATAATGGGTGAAAATCTAACTGAAAAGGGGATTCTGTAAAGGTACATAGGATTGGATTGTTATATTAGTAATAGAAATAACCTTAGAAAATTGGAAACAATGTATGATTAAAATGAGGGATAAAATAGTGTAAATTTAGTGAAATGTTTGTGAATAAAATAAGTGAAATAAAATAAATGAGAAAATGGAATTAGGAAGGAACGGGAACATTTTAATTAGTTAATGTTTTATAAAATATAAGTGAAGGGGGGGGAATTAACTATGGAAAGCTTATAATTGTTCCCATAGAAGTATGATATTTAATTGAAAAGTAATGTTAAAGATGTTAAGACTTTAATGAATATTAATGATAGAATTGAATTGGAATGGAATGTTGTTTTAATTATATACATTTATAATTTTTTCTTTTTTTAAGAATACAGTGTGTATTTTAAGAATGTACCAAGCAGAATCCGAATGGAAGATATGTATTATATTGAATGTTACAACTTTAGGGAAAAGATATAAAGGCGTCATACTCCAATCAGTAACTACAGGAGAAATTTTGTTTAATGAGAAAAGATAATAGATAATTGAAACAGGACAGACAAAAAATATAAATACAATGGTTTGAATTGAGACGAGATAATTAAAATAAAATTGAGAAAATTAAAAGAGGGGAGAAGCTATGCAGAAAATGTAAAATAGTAATAAGATATGGAATAGAATATAAAAATGAGCATGAACCTGAATTTGTGTCCTGGGATTACGCTACTTTCAAAAAAGATGTTTTATTTGTATTTTTTTTCTTTTTGTTAAAACTCAAATAAAATTTACAAAAAAAAGAAAAGAAAAGTAGCTGCACTTAAGTCTTCCCTCAAGCCTTATTCAGATCTCAGAGCGAGAATATCAAATCATGTAAGAAAGCTAACAGTATCAAGATGAAATTATTGTCATGTTTATTCTAAAATGTAAAATAATCTGGAACCATGCAATTCATGAAATGATGTGTATATATAATTTGATGAACATTGCAAATATGACTATTGATCGACTCATAAAACATTCCTATGCCTGTTTTAGTAGTTGCAATAAAAAGTGGGGGGAGGAAGAAAATCTGGAAGAGCGATGCAGCAGTCTGAAAGCGAAAGTACATTCCAACTCTTATCTTTAAAAGTTTGTAACTAAAATACCAGCGCTTTTGCCCGTGAATATATTTAATTGGAGGACGTAAATGATGACACCCAGCCCGTGAATGTGCTCAATTGGAGAATCTGATTTATGACACACTGGCGGGGGGGGAGGGGGAAACAGGCTCACAGGTTATTGTAAATTACGTATGCCAGAGTTGGCTTCATACAGGGTAGTGCCAGTATGTCGCCTCTAATGAATCCTTTGAAGTTTTTTGAAGTTTGGCTCGAGAATCATGATTTAATTAGAGCGAATGCTGGAATCCTGACACTATTAATATAGAATCCACGATAAAAGAAGAGATGTTAAGGATGTAGAGATCGATACAAAATGGTACATGAGAATATGGAATGATTAAGGCTGATAATATGTATTAATTTCAAATTACATAAGAAAGTTAATAATGTCAATGTGAAAATACTGTCGTGTTTATTTTAAAACGTAAAGCACCCTGGGACCAACACTGTTCACACCATTTATAGAAACAAAAAATAAAAAAATGCATTAAATGCTGCCAAGCTTGATCTGAATCCTTTGCTTCTCTTGGTTTAAAAGCAAGTCAGCTTTTTATCCATCCAAACTATTTCAGTAGGGAACAGAGTATTAATTTCAGCGGCAGAAGAAGGGGAAACGAAAGTTACCTTCGTATTCTTGCACTTTCTTCATATAAATCCTGAGCTGCTTCTTCAGCTTCTTCTCATTCTTTTCCAGCTTTTCCAACATCTCTTTCAGGTCCTGAAAAACAGGAAGGCATCCCAGATCAAGTTCGGCCACAGCTCAAATGGGAGCATTTTGCCAAGACCAGCAAGAAGCGAAAGGAAAAACAGACTCAATTTGCAGATGCGTTCATATATTTGTTTAACTGCCAGAATGTTTCCTTCCTGCTTTCCTTACAGGATTAGGCCAGTAATTTCTTCTTAACAACCGGTTCTCTGAACTGCTTAGAATGTTAACAACCGGTTCTAGCGAATAGGTGCGAAAGGGTAGAATCTCACCCCTGGGCCCGAGCCTTCTGGCCATATGTAGTTAGTTATGGATTTGCATCCATAATCAGAAAAAGCTACAGGAAACTGAGGAGAAAGATGCTGTGAATCAAGAGATTATTTTACTCAGGCACGGTCCATTCATGACAGGAGATTAATCACCAGCATTCAGCTTACCCAACCTAGCGGAACTGTTGTGAGAATATACATCTCATTTGTGGCTTAGTAATATTAAAGTCTGTAAGCTGTTGAAAATAAAGCTGACTTTTTGCAATTGATTGATGGGGACTTTGTCAATGCTGGTGTTGTTCTAGTGGTGCTCCAGATGCTTTGGGATTGCACTCAAGGCACCTATCGCTGTTGGTATTATCTTTGTCCCCTTTTTGTTCCTCGCCACAGTTGTGCTTACTTTTATTTGCAGGCCCTCATATTTTGTGATTATGGTGATTGTTATCTTCTCATCAGACTCAGCCGAACTGAGAGCCTTTGATCAGCTTGGGATTTTTTTTCTCTCTCTTTTTCGGGGTTTATTTCAATCTCTACCAAAGCCAATCAATTATACATTATGAGAAAAGTAATTTTGTCAGGTTGCTATGGCGAGCCTGAAATATTCTAAAGAGCAAATTGTCACACTGCTTTTCAAAACGCCCTCTTCAGGCTCCCATTTAACGTACCTATAATTTTACTGAAAACTTTGGTTCGGCGAAGGAAATGGGGATAGTTCAGCAAAAAAAAAAGACTGTGAAACTGGGGGCAACTCACAGCAACTGCCTTGCTTAGGAACAGAAATTCTGCTCCCAGTTGTGACTGTAAGTTGAGCACTTACTTGTACTGCTGCTGAACAGTATTCGGTAGGGAATACACCTTGAATGCAGACGAAGCTCCTGAAAATCCATCCAAAGTTGTTCCTTACCACAGTGGCCCCCAGGGACCGGTTTCACAATTATTTATTCTTCCACGGACCGGTACCTGAGTAACGCAAGACTCCATCGCCATCAGGACGGCTCTTTGTTCGAAGCCCCCCCCCCCTTCGACGAAACTAAGGCGTGAGCACCCAAACGCCACTTTCCAACTGAAAACCCGGAAGCACTTTCCAAACCGAAAACCTGGAAGCGCTGTCGAAACAAGATGGCGGCGCCCAAGCTTTGCGGCCTGGTAAAAAATGATCCACGGACCGGTACTGGTCCAGGGACCGGTGGTTGGGGACCCCTGCTTTACCAGGTTATTACTCAACCATGACAGTACTGCTGCTGCTGTACTATAACCCTGCTGTAGGTGGTAGGAAAGTCTTCTGCCCAAACCTCTGGAAAAATATTCTAAGGAAAGCTAGATGGGATAATAAAGAATATTGGTTGGGTCAACTACTTCCTCTACCTTCTATATATCGTCTATTTGTTCTGTTTTGTGTGAGGATAATGCACCATAAATCTGTATAACCATAACAGAGGAAAGCCAGTTTGGTGCAATGGTTAAAAGGTACCAGACTAGAAACCAGGAGGCTGTGATTTCTAGTCCTGCCTGGGGCACCAAGCCAGCTGAGTGACCTTGGGCCAATCCCTTCTCTTTCTCTCTCAGCCCTGGGAGCTAGGCAAGGGCAAACTACTTCTGAAATCTCGCCAAGAGAACTGCAGGGACTTGTCCAGGCAGTTGCCAGGAGTCAACATTGATTCGAAGGACGAAAAGAAAACAAAACAAAATGTATGGACTGTAAAGCAATAAAAATGGATTCAAAACTAACCCTACAGTTAGGACATCGGGAGGTGATAAAATAATAAACAATGCACTTAATTTACGCACTTGGAAGGAATGAAAAGGTGTTTTAGTATTGAAAAGACTGACCCCAAAATGAATTGAAACCAAGAAGGGGTCCCCGGAACAAAACATAGCAAGAAGTTCCGAGAAGCAGAGGAGATTTCTTACTGGCAGAGATTCCACCAGTTCCAGAAAGCCAGAAGTTCTGCCACGAGATGATCAGCTTTCTTTCCTTTTCTATGTGAACTGATTTTGCATTTATATTTATTCCTCCCACCCAACTGTCATTTTGCACATTGCATCTTTTAGACCGCACATACAGAATGCAGAAGAATACAGCCGGAAGGGACCTTGGAGGTCTTCTAGTCTAACCCCTTGCTCAAGCAGGAGACCCTATGTCATTTCAGACAAGTGGCTCTCTTCTTAAAAGTCTCCAGTGATGGAGCACCACAACTTCTGGAGGCAAATCGTTCCACTGGTTAATTGTCCACACTGTTTGGAAGTTTCTCTTCGGTTCTAGGTTGCTTCTCTCCTTGGTTGGTTTCCACCCACTGTTTCTTGTCTTACCTTCTGGTACTTTGGAAAATGGGTTGACTCAAATACTGGAATACTGCTATTATGTCACCTCTAGAGTCCTTCTTTTCTCTAGATTAGGTTAAGGTAAAGGTTCCTCTCGTACATATGTGCTAGTCATTTCCGGCTCTAGGGGGCAGTGCTCACCTCCGTTACAAAGCTGAAGAGCCAGCGCTATCCAAAGATGTCTCTGTGGCCATGTGGCCGGCATGACTAAATGCCGAAGGCGCACGCAACGCTGGTACCTTCCCACCAAAGTGATCCCTAGTTTTCTACTTGCATTTTTTACATGCTTTCGAACTGCTAGGTTGGCAGAAGCTGGGACAAGTAACGGGAGCTCACTCCGTTACGCGGCGCTAGGGATACGAACCGCCCAACTGCCAACCTTTCTGATTGACAAGCTCAGTGTCTTAGCCACTGAGCCACCGTTTTAACCATTGAGCCATTTAGTCTCCAGGCCCTTAGTCATCTTAGTCGCTCTTCTCCAAGAGCAACTTCTCATACAGCTACAAGCTCTACATCTATGAGCAGGTCGGGCTAATCAGTAAAGGCCACCCTGGAGTATTTTTTTGACTGAAGAGTTGGGCACCAATCTTTCAAACAAGGCACTCATCACCCTTGGCAGACACAACCCTGCGGTTTTGCTTTTTCTCCATACCAGGTTTTCGCTGGACAGCCGCGAGATTTCCTGCTGGATACCAAACTCCACTTGGGCTTCTGGGGACAGCTGAAGCGTCTGGAGGAAGACTTCGTGTTGTTTCTCCATGGCTTCCTTCAATGTCTCCATCTGGTCCTTTAGGACTTCTATTTCTTCTTCGTATTCCCTTCTCTGTTCCTGGAGCTGAGCCTCAAGGAGCCTGAAGGGGGCGAGAAATGGGACAGGTGAGGACATTTGTCACTCAAAGAATATTAGGTACCTAAGATACCCAGAAACTCCCATGATGCCTCTAATGATGTGACGGACCAGGGCTTGGATTCACAGACCAAATGCTTTTAAGGAACTGTAGGCAGACTTAGATAACAAAAGACATCTTCCAAGGTTCTTTAGGGTCATGTAAACAGGAAAAGTGTAGCCTCGCTGATTTTATAGTAGTGTGCACTACTATTACTTTTAATCTTCTCATCACTCCTTATTACCCATCCTCTCCCACTTGTGATTGTAGGACTGTAACTGTCCGCTTGTATCCTTACAGTTTATATTGACTGTTTCCTAGTATGATTTGATTGCTTATTGTACCCTATGACTATTATTAAGTGTTGCACCTTATGATTGATTCTTAACGAATGTACCTTTTCTTTATGTATACTGAGAGTATTTACACCAAGACAAATTCCTTGTGTGTCCAATCACACTTGGCTAATAAAGTATTCTATTCTATTCTATTCTATTCTATTCTATTCTATTCTATTCTATTCTATTCTATTCTA